GATTTCAAAATTTCAAATTGTAAACCTTGTAACACATCTTCTAAACCATATGTTTACAACATTTAAAAATGTCCAAAGATTTACTCAATCTACACTGCTTCTAGAAGTTTAAATTTTAGGGGGGCAAATAAATTTTTAGGGCATCTTACTAGTTTCCAACATTAAAAATATTATCATTTCACAAGATTTACATGCGCGTTTTATTTTGATTATTTAAAGTTGACACCCTATGCAAATTGCAATCTTTAGAGCATGCCAAGTCAAACACGGATCGGAAGTGCCCTATTTGATTGCGATCGGTGGGGGGCAATTAAGTCATACAATTCATACTCAATTAATTTCTTCACTATTGTTTTTCTTTTCTTTCAATTTCCTACCGTTTCCACCATGCGGCTGATCAAATCCACCAGTCAAGCACTTAGCCAAAAGATTTTATATCCTGCCTGTGGGAGTATAACCCGTCGGGATTAGCTTTAGAATCCCATATTGTAAACCTCTTCATGCTACATGCCCCCAGTATAAAAAAATTTCCTAGTTACCGCGCTATTAAAAAAGAGAAATGGCATTACGAGACTCTCTCACATGTGAATAGGACCCCAAATGATCACCATTAAATTTTGACACAGATCTCTAAAAAAGTTATGACATGAATGTTGGATTCGGATGAATGTGTTTTTTAGAGATCTGTGTCAAAATTTAATAGTGATCTTTTGGGATCATACTCACATGAATGTGGGAGGATCTCATAGCATCATTACTCTTTAAAAAATAATGTCTCAATATTAAACACATTCTATTTAATTTTTAGATAATGAGATCTAATAATTAAAAAAATTTAAAATTCAATTTTTTTTTTGAAATAATCATCTAGTAGTTTTCAATTGACTCCAATAATTTCCCAATTAGGACTTTGTGCTCTTAGCACTATGGGTTAGTTTGTTATGCCCAAGGTTTAAAAATGAACCAGATCGCCCATCTGGAAAATCAGGGTGGTTTGGCAGTCCAAATCCACGATCCGGTAGAGTGAACAAGCCAATAAAAATTTTAAAAAAATTAAAGAACAAAATTATTTATAAAAAATAAAAAATAAATGATGGGGCAGTTCTCGTAGAACCGGCAGGCTGGTTTCTGATAATTTTTGGTGGAATTAAACCGTTCCCACCTATTCCGATCCAAACCGGTTGGTTGCCGTTTTTTTGTGCCATATACTTGATCAAATCAACTTAAAAAAGTTAGAAAGCAATCGTGGAAAATAATAATAAACAAAGTAGGATTTTGTCTGAACTCTGAATAGTCTTCCCTATTTTACCTGATCAATCTATCACCCAATACGCGCCTTTGACAAAACATAGCCCCCCTCTCTCTACAAAACACCCATTTGACTCTTTCTCTCTCAAGCTTCATTTATACTTTGATCTTTCTCTCTCTTTCCCCATCTTCGACCTTCCTTAAGCCCCTCTCTCTCGCTATTATCATTCCTGCTCTGTTGAAGAGGGTATTTTCTGATGTGTCCTCTCAGAATCATTCTCATATTCCTTTCTGCTTCTCTGGCTGCATTTCTCGCCTGGAAGAACTTCCAATCTGCACCGTCGATTGAAGGTCTTAATGGAGAGGATAAACAACCCCAAGGCTCAACCTGCGGCCGTCTCTCCAAGGTACGCTGATCATTGTGTTCTGTTCATGTCTTTGCACAAATGTCATCTGGACCGTTCATTGATAAGTAAAATCTTTTTTATTGGGCTACAGCCCTAACAAAATAAGTTAGGTAAGGAAGAATTCTGATTTTTTAGCTCTTTGCTCGTTCTTATTGCATAGATTAGCTCACATCAATTTTGACATAATTTTAGAATTATGGTTATGATTTGTAAAAAAGATTTTGTTTTTGTTACTAAATTTCCCAAACCAGGCAGAAATTTTCAAGGAATATTAAACCAGTGTTCAAAAGGTTGTCGATCAGACTCAGAGTCTTGGACTGCGTTGGGAGGTTACCAATTTTGGTTGGAAACTCTGGAATCGCCCGAGAGTCCCAGTTTTCTAGTAATTTTAAGTTTTGTTAAAACTTAGGATTTGGCCCCGTCAGACCCACAGCCCTCGGGCTTGGGCCTCTATGTCGAAAGATAAGTCCGACTTGTAAAACACTGGTTCAAAAGGAAAAATACGTAATGAGACCATTTACCTTTAGTACAATGTGGTTACAATTAATGTTGATCTGAAACTGGGTGGCTTCATTTCACTTACCAAACTCAAAGTTTAAAGTTTTTTTTTTTGAACTTTATGATACACCCAAACTATCACATTTCATATAAGGTGGTTGGTTATAAGTGATTGTAACGTCTGTGTACCAAAGGTAAATGGTCTTGTTGCATACAATCTCATTTAGAGAACCTCCAACTGTGTCCTTGATAATTAAGGATTTAGGTTATATTTGAGAAAAATCTAAAAACATTAGTAATGTTGATTAATCCTCTAACCCCTCTTTTTATTTATTTATTTATTTTGGCTTTTTGGTATAACTAATTGCACCTTCCATTTTCAGGTTTTTTGGGCATGTGTAGATATGGCCAGTGGTAAATACCTATGGAGAAACCTAGCCCCGGGGAAAAGTGAATTGAGGACTTCTTGATATTAAGTAGGTGCATTATTTAGAAAATGGTGATTGCGAAATGTTGTGCGAGTCCACCTCATGAAAATTGATCATGAAAAGTTCTTGGAGCAGTGATCGTAGACTTTAACCTAAGAAATAAAATATTTACCCGGACCATAAAATTTTTGTTATCCTCCTTGTTTGAGCATGTAAATCCTGGATTCCTCGATTAATCTTTGACATGGCATAAAATATGTCTATCATTGAATTATTGGGTGCATTTTATATAATAAATATATACAATACCATTTATTTTTTATACAAGGAGATCACAATTATCATTGACAATTAGATTTGAAGTCGAGCCTTAAGGATGTGTTATTATTTAGACACAAAGTTCAACACAAAATTTATCAAATTTTGTGATACACTTTCATCTATTGGATTTCACATCGAATAGGAGATTGCGACGTCTTTGTACCAAAAATAAATAGTCTCATAGTATAAGAACCCTTTTATATAAGGCATCACTAGGCGAACATTCATATCATGCCAAAAGATGCAACTATGGTGTTGGAAACCGTAAATTCTATTCCCAACTCTACTTACAAATTTTGAAGCTCCAAAAGTAATGTAGAGATAGAGAGCACATCAATAAATACTTGAAAATCTAAAAAATGGACGGTTTAAATAATATTTTAAAAAATACATTATTTTTAAAACTTGAGATCCAATTTTTTTTATATTCATACATATATAGTCCAAGATGCCAAGATGATCAATTGAGCGACTTTCCAGCATTTGAACAACCTTTTATGTTAGGTTTCTAATGCGCCCCCTTAATTCTTTATAATTTAAGGTTGAACCCCTTAAAACTTCTTCCTTATTTAGCTAAAAAGAGTATATTTATGTTGGAGCAAGTATATATAGAACGACTTGAATGGATTATTATTGTAATTCATGACGAGATTTGGGGTATAGAACATGATGGTAAGCATGCCTTACTGTGACTAGTTTCGAAGTTGTCAATTTATTCTACATTTCTAAACTTGTTCTATATGTGGGTAGGGTCATTTTGAGTTATTTTCACCGCAACGACCAAATTCACGAGGAAATAGTTTATATAAGATGTCAATGTCATGGAAAAGTATACCGATGGAAGATTTACTTTTAGCACAAAGAAGTCACAATCTTTAGATTTCAAATTGGGTCGCTGTGAGCATATCATTAATTGGACTCAAAATTCAAAATTTTTTTTTCGAACTTTGTGAAATATATCAAGCCATCTAATTTGATATCTAATGACTATGAGTAATTATGACCTCCTTATAAAAAAGATAAACGGTCCCATAGTATATAATCCCCAATTTTATACTATGAAATAATTATGCACCTCAAAAATCCTCTAAAAAAAAGCATTTCCTTGCTAGAAAACCCTCTAAAAAATTAAAAATATATGAAGGAAAAAAAGAAAGTCGAGTTTTAAAAATAGTATATCTTATAATAAGTTATCTAAGCTGTCTATTTTTAAGATTTTCATGTATTTATAGATCTGCTTGATCTGTACTATTTTTTGAAATTTTGAATTTCATAACTAGGGATCGAAATAGATTTTCAAGCCATCATAAGGTATTCAATGCTACAAGTACATCTACTAGCAAAATTTAGAGGTATACCTTATTTTGCAATATGAGGAGGGCGCCCTATGTACAAAGCTTTCCTAGTTCCCAATGGTGCTGACATTTAAATGTAAAAATATATTATGAGAAATAGATCAAAATCCTATAAGAGATGATCTATTTAATATTTTACCCATTGACAATTATTACTGATAATGCTCAGAGAGGCAGACAAAACTCTCGTGTGTATTTCATTAACAGAGAGAAGAGAAAAATACAAAAGGTTGTTATATATGACAAATGGCACATACTTATCTAAATGGAAAGTTTATAAGAAATATACAAAGATCAAATTTGTACATATCTCAAGGAATATGTTCCATATCTTTTAACACCTCCTTTCAAACTCAAGGTGCATTTAAAGAGCGCAGTTGGAGTTTGGATAATAAGTAGTGAAAATGCATTGTGGTATGGGTCTTGGTGAGAAGATCGGCTACGTGGTCTGTTGAGGGAACAAATGAAGATATAATAGTCCCTTGTAAAATATGATGATGAGCAAAATGACAATCAATTTCAATGTGCTTGGTTTACTCATGAAATACATCATTGTGAGCTAATTGAGTAGCAATTTTATTATTACAAAAAATAGGCTAGGGACTTGGGTGAGAGAGTAACCATTGCAACCAGATAATCTCAGAGGTAGTATGAGCAAGTGCATGGTATTTAGCTTTGGCACTGAATCGAATAACTACTTTTTTTTTTTACTTTTTCAGAAGATAAGGGAGTCATCAAGAAAAATAAGAAATCTGATCAGTAACATCACCTGTCCAATCAAACATCGAATAAGCTCACAATTCTAGTCTAGAAGTGGCTGGAGAAAAGAAGACCCTGAAATAAAGTGCCATGAAGATATCGCAAGAACTAAAATACAATAGCATAGTGAGTAAAACAAGGTGTAAACATGAACTGATTGAGAATATGAACGACATGACTGATATCACAGCAAGTAACTATTAAATAGTTGAGCCTACCAACCAGTTGCTGATACCGTGTAGGATCAGATAGAAGTTCACTATCAATTGGCTGCAGTTTAACATTGAGCTCTAGTGGAGTATCCACGGTTTTAGTGTCTGTTAAACTTGCTTTACGAAGAATTTCAGGTGCATACTTGACTAGAGAAGAGTCTACCTCTATTCCCAAAAGATAGCGGAGCCGACCAAGACCCTTCATTTCAGAAGTGTTACTAAGGTGAAGTTGGATGTTGCGAATCTTAGCAGGATTGTTGCCAATGACAATCATATCATCAAACATAATAGTAATAGAACAAGACCCTTAGACAAGCTTCAAGATCAAGATTTGCTTATTGCTGAAGATTCACCTTTCGAGTTAATCTTGCTCTGATATCGTGATAATGCTCAAAGAGACATAGAAACTGTCATGTGTGTTTCATTAAAAGAGAGGATAAAAATACAAGAGGTTGTTCTATATGAGAAAATTATGTATGATGGCTCTAAAATCAATTTCGAATGGCAACAATAAAATTTAAAATACAAAAAATGTATATTCTCAACCATAATGTTGATTGAAGCTGAGATGGTGGATGTAAATTTTGGTGGGACTTTTTAATGAGTTATAAAGTGAGGCTTTACTTATTTTGATAGGGCTGCAGCTCTATCAAACCATTTCCCGTAGTTAAATCCCTACTTTCTGGCCCCCGACTAGATTCAAATTCCAACGGTCATATTTTCAAAGAAATGCCATCGAGTTAAGGCTCATATAAAGCGACCAAAAACCCTAATTCCAGATTCTAGGGCAAGAATTATCGTGGTGACAATGAGGAAGAAGAACAAAGGAAGAGTATCTGAAACCCCAATATCTGGTCCCCCCGAAACCCTAATACAGGAGAAGCATGGCTTTTTCGCTTGCTATTTGCTCTGTTCTTTGAGCCCAAGGCACAAAGGCCACACATATATCGGGTATGTGATTATTGATCTCTCGTGGAACCCTAATTCTATAGTTCCTGTCTTGATTCTCGCTTGTTCTAGGATTTTAAGTGCTCAAATCCAGGATCAGCGTGGTTCGTTCTTGTACTTTTAGGGTTTATGTGCGTACAATCTGATCTTCCATAATTCATGGCTCTAACTTTAGTCAAATATATTGGTGATATGAATATAATTATATTTGAAGGATGAAATGCATCTTTTTGGGGGTTTTTCCATCTTATTTACTGTTTTGGAATAGTGATTCGAATTAGGTTTTTTCTGGGGTTTATACAATTTAAATTTGTCTCTGAATTTGCTAATATGTAAATGATTTGACTGATAATTATGTAGGTTTACCATTAATCCTCGTCGTCGAATACGCCAACATAATGGTGAGATAGGATGTGGAGCTTGGAGGACAAAGAGGAAGAGGCCATGGGAAATGGTCTTGTGTATATATGGGTTCCCTTCAAATGTTTCAGCTTTACAGGTTAGAATTCTTGTAAATCAATTTCTTTTTCATTTCCTCATTGTCATCACCACTACCACTACCACTACAACTACCACTACCACTACCACCACCACTATCATCATCATCATGAGTTACAATTTTCATTATCTTCCGATGTTTTAACTGCCCCCTTGATCTAGATATGAATATCAAGAATGGAAATCCAAAATTTATGCTGTTCCAAACACAAGTTCTTTTTTATGTGTTCTGGCCAAAAACATGGTTGCTAATGGCAGCCACTACCAGAGTTGATTTTATAACCCTGTTTTGTGATGTTTGTATATTTTCCTGTTGTCTTGATCTTTTTTTTCCTTTATGGACTATATTTTTTTATTCAATGTGAACACTGTTTGGTTCTTCTGGTCACTTGATTAGAAGGATATAGTGAAATAGTTGACTTTGAAATCTTGATTTGGACTTTGTAAGCTCCTTTATGGAGTTTTTAGCTTGTATCGTTCATCTGCTTCTTATCTCATAGTGATCTATTAGAACTTGATGATTTTACCAAAATTTGATAAGTTGATGAAGGTTTTGAGTTTGAGGATGGTGTATTTTACCTAAGAATTCCAAATGGGGCATTCTGCTTTCACAAAAAAGGGGTATCATTTGTAATTTTATTTTGTTATTTTTATAGCTTATATTTTCTTTTCCCTTTGCTTATTCAAAATTTTCAGTTTGTGTCTTCTTTAATTTTGTGTCTTTACAATGATATTTTAGAACTCAATGGTTTGATTGAGATTTCAAGTTTGAAGATAATGGAACTACTTAGGTTCTAAAATGGTTCACTTTTATTCTCGGAATGCAGTTTGAATGGGCTTGGCAGCACCCTACAGAGTCCTTAGCTGTAATAGGTGCAGCTGCATCACTCAAGACTCTCTCAGGCGTGGCTGGCAAGGTTAAGCTAGCTTACACAATGCTCACACTACCTGCTTGGCACAGGTAAACTTCCCATTCAATAATTCAAAATTTTAGTTTTTGCTTAAATTAATTTTTTTCTACCATGTATGTATGACCCTTAATTTTAGTATTTCGCGTCATGCTTGACGTTCCATGGAATGGTGACTAGCATTGCTCTGATAGTGTAACAAAGTGACACTGATGAAAATGGTCCCAGAAATTGTAAGAAATGGTTAAATAATGGGCAAATTGTGATAGATGAGCTCCAACTTTAGTGAATAAAGGTATGTATGAGGTCAGGCTTTCAGGGGTAAAGCTGCTATTTGGATTCTATGGGTATTGGCTCTTTTAGGTGGGTCAAAGAGTCAAGTAGCAAAACATTCAATAAATCACCTTAACATGAATCCCTTACTTTCTGTAAAGAAGTAAAGAACATAGATCCCATGGCTTCCTCTATGCAAAACACAATACATTTGCCTTTTCTAGGCTCCATAACTTACAATTGACATAAAACTTTACGTGTTTGACAAAATTGAACTACCTCCTGCCCCATGAATTGCTTTTTGATAATGAAGAGATAGTGATAGAATATTCTGAGGTCCTGTCCGTAAACACTGGTCATTCATTCCTCCACCTTTTGTCTGCTCGATTCTAGGTCCATCAAGATGGTAGGGCATGGCTTATCTGCGAAAAAACAAAGCTGAGGCATGACTACTCTAGAATCTATAGTTCCAAAATGTGAATTTTGGTCCATGTTGGTTTATATGAAACTTTTGAGTTGTTATAAAATACTGATCTCACATGCTTTGCGATACATGCATCTTACCCAAACTGCTCCATAAGTTGTCCATCAATGAATAATGACTATATACTTGTACTTATTTTCGTGTGTTATCAAGATTTTATGACTGGCTGGTGCTGGTGCTCATAATTCATCTAATATGCTTGTTAACAGCTTAAACCTCACAGTGAACTTCTTCTCAACGAAGTACCTCAGCTACAGTGCCGGCCACCCAACATTGCCTGAACAAATGAATGTCCTCGTTCGTTCCATGGATGAACTACCATGCTACTTGGAAGGTTGGGTACTAGATGACGATAATGATGATGATGAAGGCAGTCATGGGCATGGTCATGTTCATATTCACTATGATGCTTCTGATCTTGATAATAATAAGCATAGCATAAATGACTTATTAGTTGGCAATAAAAGGAAAAAGAATCACAAAGGAACTTTGAAGGATGTTCATCCTCGTTGTGAGGATGGTGTTCACTATGATGGTATTCAAGATCATTGTGATGGTCAGTTTGGAATAAATGATACACCAATTCAGGGTGGGGATGTTATAAAGACTCTTAGAGGAACCTTGAGTGATGATGATGCTCATTGTGACGATGGTGTTCAGAATGGTAGTCATGAAGATGATGATGCTCACTGTGACGATGGTGTTCAAAATGGTAGTCATGAAGATGATGATGATAATTTCTATGATAGCCATCATAATGATCCGTTCAGAATAAATAAGACACCAATTTGGGGCGGGAATGTGATCAGGAATTTTAGAGGAGCTTTGAAAGATAATGATCATGGTGTTCACGGTGGTGGGACTTACGGAATGGGAAATTCACCTGAAGCGGCTTTGAAGAAAGCATCTGGAAGAAATAAAGGTGGTGAGTTGAAACATTTGATGGATTTATCTCCATTTAGAAGAACATCTCAACTGGAGATGGGTGAGACCATAGACTTGGTTGACTTATCACCATTAGGAAATATGCCTTTGCGGAATGCATGTGGAAGGAATGAAGAGTGTGAATTGAAACAGTTGGACTTTTTAAGTCCGTTGAGCCATAAAACATCTCCACTCGAGATGGGTGCGACTATTAACTTGACGCCATTAAGTTGTACGATTAGTTCTTGCACCAAACAATCATCACGTATTGCTGGTTCCCTTCACCCAGAAATCATTGATTTAACTGATTCACCACTCATTATACAATTGTAAATAATAAGGTGTTTGGTTATTTAGTGTCTTCATGTCATTCATTCACTTTTTTTCTTCTCTTTCATGAGACTGTGTATGCTAGTTGTGACTCCAACTTTTTCTCTTTCCTATTGCAGGCATCTGGTTTCTAATTATTCGGTCACCAATAAAAAAAAAAACAAACTTATGTATTTCTGTTGAAGTGGTTTAGAGACCCATTTGGATACCCTCCATTTCTTGGGTAGGCATTTAACATAGAAAATTTTCACCCATCTTTTAATCATGCTAGATTTGGGGAAATGAATGTGTCTTAAGTAATTTATCTCAAGTTAATTTCAAAAGTCATCATTTTGAGATTTGAACTGTACTGGAACATTTTCTCTTCTTCTGCTTCCATTTTATGACTTTCAGAATCCAGCAATTTTGTAGGGAATCACAATCTGTTTCCGAAGTAGCAGGCTATTTGACATAAAAGACTTGGCAATTTTCCTAGGGAATATGAGTGACAAATTGATAGAAAACCAAAACTTCATAAAAATTGCGAAATAGCAAAGAGACAAAAAAGAAGATGGGGGCCCAATTAATTGATAAATTAACACAAGAAGAAATGATTTGATGGAACTTAAATTAATCATCCTTTCATCTTGTGACAAACAATTGTCTCAACACTTTCCTTTGCTTACCCGTAGATAGAAAGATTCTACTCCAACAGCCACTGACAAGTCAAATTACCTCACCCACAAACTTAGTGAAAAGGCTAGTGTAGGGCCGTCGTGTTTAAAGCTGTGGCCCAAATCGGGCGTGTTTAAAGTTCCGGCACTGGAAAAGCATCATCAAATTGATCATCTCAACCCTTGATGAATGAAATGATTTCAAGCCCTAAAAATATCGTATTTTGTAAACATGTAATTTGAATCGTCTACTTTCTAGTATTTACATATTTATGGGATATGCAACATTTTTTAAACTTCAAATTTCGTAGTGAGGGGCATAAATGGGTTTCTTGGGTTAGAACCACATTCTTTGGTGGGGTTTTGTAGTGTGGGTTTGCTTTTTGTCATTATTCGAAGCCTTAATGCTTAACTGGAGATTTTATACTGCCGAGTAAATCAATCAAAAGTCCAAGAAACAGATAACGACTTCCACTTTTATCTCATTTGGGTACATAAAACGTGCATACACATTGAATTTTGCTTATTCATAAGTATACAATGACATTTAAGGGTGTGCTTGAGAAGACTACTAAACAGGTTTGGTCCTATTTTTTTAACATATTAGGTTGGGAATTGTTCCACAACATGCTTGTCTTCACCCATATTGTTTGAGAAATGCAAATAAGGCCCTGACCATTCAAAATACATTTTCTACTTTGATTTGCATTTAATGCTAGTCAATAATAATCCCACACTGCCAAAACAAACACACCCTTAATTATACACCTGCACATGTAGGAAGTATGAACACAGTTGCATATTTATCTATACACATAGAAAAACATAAATTGGTAAGGAGTCAAGGAAATGAGTATTGAGCTCCCAAGGGAGTCGATTGCAAACCTACTCCCTTGGTCAGAAGGCCAACTTGGGAATATTTTTTCAATATGAAAATTTTATAACCATCTAAGAATCACTAGATTATTACTTTTAAAAGAAAAATTTTGAATTTTGAGTTTTCTAGCACTTACATCTCAACCTTGAAATATTGGACAGCCTGTGTTCAATCTAGATTTTTTTTTTTTCAAGTGCATAATTTGAATTTCTCTTTTTTAGTTGAGGTTGGTCTATGGATAGATGAGGTTACTATCCCAAAAATGTGGGGTCATAAAATTATTCCTAAGATGGATTTAGCCTGTGGGAGTAACTGGACACTATACTGGTTTTTGGGCGTTGACTTTTCATTTGAATTCAGTGTGTGATGCAGATGTTATTAAGCGTATATTGGGAGGATGGGCGGAGTTAGAGGTGCTTCTTTCTCTATCAAGAAAGCGTGTTACAATAATAATAAACAAAAAAATAATACCACCACCCTGCAAACAAGGCCATGTTCGATTCCCTCTTCACCAAATTGGAAGTAAAACATTTAAGATGGCGGCAGTTTATCAGTACTGACAATGTTTTGACGTGAATTTCGAGGACATGAAATCCTCAAAACAATGCCCCAGTTTCTCTTACAACCTATCCCAGAACTTGTTCTGAGTTCCAGCGGACGTTTACAGTCGCCGCCCTATTACAAAAGAATGGTTATTTTCATTTCCACAACAGTTTTACAGCTTCATTTTCACAGCCAATTTGGACTTTAAATCTGAAAGGCAACATTGGTATGAGTATACCATGGTGAGTGTATTGCGTGGGTATTTAAGAAGTGGGAACAGACTGATACTTAAAGAGGTGTGATTGGCGACGACCCAAATAAAATGCAGTGACCATCCACAATAAGCACACCTGAGAAAAATAAAATAAAATTAGGTATCAATTAAAAGCAAACTCGAGCTAGCAAAGCATGAAAGGGAAATAATGGTTAAGGGCGTGTTACAGGCACTGCATAGAGAGCAACTGTGGAAGCTTTCTTATGAAGGACATCTACTAGTAGCTTGTAAATTCCAGCAGCTGTAGCATCTCCTAGCCTTTGAACAATTACATCAATGCAAACCTGTGAATAAAAGTTGCTCCGTTGTCATTTTCTCTTTATGTGTTTTAGCGATTACAATTTAACTGAAGTTTTGGACTGGAACTGAAATGGCAATAAGCTGACACCGATGAGGCAAAGCAGAAAAAAAAAATTTCAGCGGCCCGACCCAAAGAAAAAAAAAAAAACATAATACAGACACAGACAGAAAAGGGGAGGGGGAGGGGGAGGGGGAGGGGGGGGGGGGGCGGTGAGGGGGGAGGGGAGAGAGAGAGAGAGAGAGAGTGGGAGAGAGAGCACCTTAGCCTTGTACTTTTCATCCTGTGAAACAACTGTGAATAAAAGCTCCCTTCCAGGTCTGGTGACAACATATGTAACTACCTGTTCAACCAACCGAGCAAACTTTGACATTTCTATTGAAATAGTATTTGACTCAGTCTAAGCAAATATCTCGAAGAATATATCTTTCCTGACGAAAACAAAAATAAGACGCAAAGCAACAGGCTTTTAGAATGAATCAAGGTTCCCAAGACAACCTTCCTTAGAGTCTCTGATATAGCCACCATTATCCATGTTGGCCATAGAGCAATAGCCATTGTATTAAAAAGAGCAACTAGAGGAGTGGCACAGATAGCTGCAGTAACCCCAGCAACTGTAAGAATATGACCCTGTAAGAAGGTTTTAAATTTTGAAATGAAAAATGGTTCAATAAAAAGCAAAAAACAAGACCTAATTAGCAACCAGGGGTTACTCTAGATCTGGCATGTAAAGCAAAATATAACAAGGAAATTGCTGTACGACTCAAAGTTGCAGTCCCATACCGTCACAGTAAGTTGGCCTGTGAGAATGAATATTGCAATGAAGCTATTGATCTGAGCAAACATTCTTCTTCTATCAAGGGAACTTGCAACGGTCGTAGCAATGATGGTAACTTTCTGCCAAGTTGAATTCAATGAGTTGAAAACAAATACTAATGCAGAAGTTTATGATTGACAAGGTGGTTATTTTAGAAAATTTATGATATGTGAAGTAATTATGATGAGGTGTAATAGCAATGCTTGGCTAAAAAAAAGGGAGGGGGGAAGAGGGGGGAATTACACAGCCTGGACATTGAACTAACTGCAATGCCATATCATCAACTAATGCATTCACATGTACCATGACACTATGGGACACGCCATTCTGAATATTTCGCTTCATTATCTGCCTCACATAGTTTTGGACAGCTAACTACATTATTTTTGGACACAAGCATATTACCATAGTATAATGACACAGTGCAGTAACAGACATCATATGCCAACTCTTTAATTTTTGGAAAACTATATTAAGTAAACATATTGCTGCTACATATTGCTACCCAGCTGACTCCCACATGTAGGAAATAAACTTTTCACATGAAATTGTCATATAGGAAGTAAATTAGGATTTAAAATAATTATAGCATTTAGTAATTCACAATAAAAATATTTAATATTTCATAACATTTACCAATTTCCTACTTAAAGTTCCACAAAATTTACATAGATATAGTGAATGAAAATTAGGTGCTGCAAAAGATATTAGAAATATTTTAGGGGATTCATTTTGGGAAAAGTGCTTTACATGTCAGCAGACGCAAAACTACATTTGTGTCCCCCAAGGCATCTCACGTCCATCTTCCCCTCCAAAAAGATCAAAACCAACAATCTAAAATTTTTCTTCAAAAATTATTATTTTAAAATTTTAAAATTTATCTTTTCTACATATCAATGATCTCCATGTTAAAGGTTATATACTTAAAATATTAAGTCCAAAATCCATCTAAAAAATGGATCATGAAGAGGGGTCACATATCTAAATGAGTCCCAGGACTCACTAAAACTGTGTCCTTCATTTTGTTAATATATTAATTTGGGACTCTTGAAGGGACCTTATGATTTCTACCATAATTTTTGCTCTTCGCTAATTTTTGTTTAACATTATGACTCTTGAGGTATGCAAGTGACATGAATTCCTTATGTCTCAAGTCTACATGGTAGTGGTTCTAACACACAAGTCTAAAGAAAATAAGATAATTGCCCAGGTATATGTTTGGATAAACGCTGGTGAGTCCATCAGACTTTTCACTGCAAACACATTAATTTCGTGGTATGAAAAATTTGCATGATAAAGAGGACAGTAGGAACAAGCCTATCATGAAACAGCAACAAAAACTGTACCTGTAAATAGAAAAAAGAAGAGACAACAGCACTGAGCCATAGGAATGCAGAAATATGGATAAGGTAGGTTGACCCCACAATCAGTCGTAAACCATCAAATATGACATATAGCGGAGGCATCATAACAGATGATCTAGGTGAAGATCCTGAAGAATAAGCTTTTGAATGTTTGTCGACCTCAACATGTTCATCTAAACCAGGCTGGCTGTAAGAAAAAAGAAATCAGGTCAATCCGTTTACAATAAAGTGCTAGTATGCATAAAGAACAACAACTTTTGACTTCTTGAAGACTTGAACACAAGGTATGATCACACACACACACACACACACTCGCACGCACACACACCCCCGAGATTTGTCATTCTACCTATATTACATGGATACTTCTTTTTGGGTGTCAGTTTAAAGACTTGATCTTCTTTTTGTTTTGAGTAGACACGTCACACGTGAACTTTGAAAATGTCTATGGCACTATGGAAACATCTGTGGATTCAGCCAGTTAAGCTATAAGTGATTATTTCTTACTATTCATCATTGAAAGGAGTAGGAGTAAAATATTGTTGGATTTGGTTCTTTTCATAATATAGCTGTCACTGAATCCTATACTTCATGGTGTGAGGAATCCGACACCTCGTACTTGTGTTAGACACCGACACATATTTGTGTCCACGCAATATAACATTCTGCCCTATTGATGTTCTTTCTTATACTTTTTTAGCGCTGACTCAAAATTTGTTCCATTCAGATAAAATGTTATCAATCACAGACTTGAGCAAATGAAATTTCAAAGCTAAGCATCACTACTGAAATTATAAAATGAAGCACACATGTTTCTGCAGGTATCTATACACAGACACACACATATACACACGTATTTGCAGATGTAAAAAGCACACAACCATATAGTGCACTATATTCAACTGGTTTCTACGCAGATAATTTCAATACAACAATAGTTTTGTAGTATTAGCTAGGCAAAATTAACCAAATGACAAAACTAACCCAATGAAAGACAGTTCTTTTGGTTCGGGAAGTATATCCCGAGTAATCCCTTTTGAAGATTGAGCAGCAAGCTCCATCATCAGTGCCGCAAAGAGGAGAAGAACTGAAAATAAATAGAAAGAGAACCATTCTTGTAAATACATTGCAAGAGAAGTAAAATGTAGCCTTTGATCAATGAAAGTAAGAGAATGAAAGGCCGATGAGTACATACAAGGTCCCAGTCTAGCCATTCCGATAGCAAATAACGACCCAAAAAGCTGCCCAAGTGTAGCTCCAGCGCCAACAAAGCCAAACAGTCTCGAACCTGACTGAATTTAGAGAACCATTCAAACTCGAGGCAGACTCAACTTCCAGGTTAAGTTGGAGCATACACACCTCATTATCCATAACATCTATTACTCGTGCCCAAGTGGAAGAGATAGTAACAAGGTTCAGAAGTGCAACCTTCAAAAGGCCAAAGCCTAAATACATCAGTGAAACTCACGTAGCAGTAACTGTAAATTGTTAAGACACTAATTGAGTACGAAAAAGTATCTAAAATATCATACAAGAACTAAGGTGGTGTAGGACAGTGTTCTACCCAAAGGAACAGGGAAATTCTGACTGATATAAAGAACCAACCATGCGAACCCGAGCTTGCAGAATGATTGGGGCCATCATAATTCACAGTAGCAATTGATTGAGAAACCAGAACCTGAGTATCATAAACACTAGTTTTAATTACTACGGATATGTGAGAAAAGCATTTATTAATTAGCATATGAATACACAAATTGTGGAAGTCACATTCTTACCTTGGAAACTGAAGGTGAAGACCCAAATGAAGTAACATATAAAAGAATGAAGAATAGAACAAGGGATCCACTGAAAAATCTATGTATAATAAGCAACGCCTGAAATATCAATAATCAAACATCACATAATTGTTCAAACATGACACAGTACTAGCAACTTTGAGAAAGTTCAAATATGAAAGATATTGGTGCCCACTGAAAACTGCTATTTGATATAAGACTACATAAACATTTGTCCTTTTTTCTAATAAGTGGCAATGATATATTACATATAAATATGGAGTTTTTACAGAAACAAGACTACATAAACATCGTTCCTTATTATACTTAGTCATAATTCTAACATAATGATCCAGTAACTCCAATTATCCTCACTATCATTCTATGAATTATCAAAACAATGATAGCTTAGCATTTTACGATCTGTGATGGGGAAAACCACAAGAACTTTCCTACCTTTCCCTTAGAAAGGTAAGGCAATGAAAAGATGACAGTTGAAATGGGAGCAGCAACAAGTGTGAGCACCAAGGATCCTGCAAAAAGCCCAGGTAGATTACTTAGGCCTAGAGATATCGCACCTTCATCCCGCAATGGAAGAACCACAAAGTATGCAGTTAGGATCTGCATAAGAGAAAATACAAAGGAAATGAGAATGTCTGAAGAAAACAATAGCGTGTGTTCACTGAAGAAAAGCAAAATGAGAAGGCATTAAGACACTGTTGAGATATCTAGATAATCCCAGAAACAAATACTCTCTATGGTTTAACCCTTAGAAATGACTTTGCTATATTTTACTTTACCGCAAGCCTTTATTTCTTGGGTGTGGTTTGCATAAGATGCAACCTTAAACTTTAAGGTTGACATCTCAAATCTTTGGAATGTTATATTGTAGGACACAGAAAACCAATGCCCTTAGATCCAAATGACTTGTAGAGAATCAATATTGTGGAAGAGTGGGTTGTCAAGAAAGAGAGGCCTGCTCTTAAAGGTATTGAAGAGCATCTAGATAATTAGATGGAGATGGAACCACCACAAGAAGGTAAAATTCAAATTGAATAATTCTATGTTTGAAGTTTTTAGGCACTCTAAGAATGTAAGCTCATATCTTACTTAATAATGTGTAAATCATATCTTACTTAATAATGTGTAAACTTTCTCAAAGGTGTAGATGATGATGATGATTTAGATGTCAACACTGAGGAGCCCAATGATGAGCAAAGAGATCGAAATTGATGAAGAAGACTATTAATTAATTTTGACACTTTTCTTATTATTAGTTGGGTTTTGTAACATTCTAATCATGACAACTTTTCAAGCCTATAAGTTGCAAACTGTGGACTTGTGAACTTGTGATGGTTTACTTAATTTTTTCCCTACTTATGATTGTGGTTCATGACTAATTTTTTGATATTAATTAATATAAGCTTTCTCTTTTATGTCTTTTTTATGAATTTGAGTTATTGTATATTATTTCTTTATTGCTTGAAATCTTTTTCTTTATTTTTTTCTTTATTTTTTAGATTTTTCCTAGTTTTTCATACTTCTCTCTATTTTATTTTATTTTTCCAATTTTTTCTTATTTTACTATTTTATTAATTATGTAATTTCTTAGACTAGTTCAACCAGTGAACGGGTCCAACCAAACTAGTCACTGATCCAGTCCTGATAGCCTTAAATAATCAAAGTAAGGCATACCTCTAAACCGTGCCGGAAGATGCAGTTTTGGAGTTGAGGTCGAGATGATCAAATAGATAGTTTTCCCGCATTAGAACAAACTTTTCTAATAGATTTTTGAGGTGCGCCTTACTTTGACATTACCAGGTTGACACCTAATATTAACTTGTTCCTTTTTTCTTTTTATAGTTAACAATGGCAAGTGGAAAATGTTGTGCACCTAAAGTTATATTTGGTTAGGTAAATCTCAGTCACAAATGAAGATTATTTTCTTACATTTCTTGGTGCATCATTGAAACATATTAAGTGATCCTTGCCCGGGGCACCTTGTCAAACTAAGAGGAAGGCCCAAACCTCTACATTAAGAAGTGGAAACACAACTAAGCAAGCATGGTTCATAGTGAAGAAACTTTGTGTTCCCGGTTTCCATGTTTTTTTCTTTTGTATGGTAGCATAGTTTACTAGGGCTGTACTAAAATCTAGATTGATTTTTTAATCTTGCAGTTCTATGGTTCCTGGTTCTTGTTTTAAAATTCCTGAAGCTAGCGCTTCGACCCTTTCTCTAGCACGCAAACCTTTGTTGATCGAAAGCAGCAAACTTTTACGAAATTCATAATAAAGCATCAAACATTACATGGCCCAAAGTTCATCAATAAGAAGTATTCATCACAAGAATAAACATCACCAGTTAAAGGGAAAGAAAACATATCCAAGAAATCATCTATTCAAACCTTGTCTAAAACAATTGGAGAACATCATTCCGAAGAAACTAAAATCCGACAAAAGATTTGAATTTTCAATGGATAAATTTCCGCTGCATGCTTTCTGCAAAGGTCAAAACTTGAGAACCGATATGAACGCAAAATGAAAAAAAGCAAAAACTAGAGTCTCAAACTTCCAAGCCAGAAGAACAAGAATAGGAGCCCTATAATTCAAAAGGAACAGCTAAACATAAACAAAACAGGAAGAAGACAGAAATTTCAGGAATAAGATCACATACCCTAGGAAAACATAGGAGTAAGGTCACAAATTACAGAATTAAAAATAAACTCTAGAATTACAGAGATGAGATTAAGAGCTTACAAAGAAGAAGCAGGCGAATGAATGGATGAGAGGGAAGAGCTCGTGAGGATGGACGGTCACGATGCAAGAGACGATCCACTCTATACGAGATCTCACCGTTACCATTGCCTTTATGAAAAAAAAAAGTTAACAAAATTCAGGCTCATAGAAGGAGAATCTCTGCAACTCAGCTAAGCAGACAAAGAAGAAAACGTCGCCGTATTTTTCAAAATTTCGGTACAGATTGTCCGAAATTTTCAGCCGGAACAGTTAGCTGTTTACAGCCGTTAGAAGCCGAATTTCAAATTTCGGCTTATTTCGTGAACACCGAGACGAGGCTCGTACTCCATTTTTTCTAAGAAAAATCCCTGTAACGATGCTCTCTCAGACTCTTAACTCAGTAGTCGTTCGCGTAAGGCTGCAATCTTAAACAATTAAAGTACGCGCACCTCCAAAATTTTAGGATGAGGTTTTTATAAGGCCTAGGCATTATCAAAACAAAATAGAGCTTCACCTCAAATCCTTGCCTGAAAAGTACTGTTGGCTATAAAATCAATTTTCAACATTGAAAATAAATTTTGAAACTAAAAAATGGTGCAGATCTTGCAGATATATGAATATTTATTTTTAAAGCAGAATAGATAGTCTAGATAATTTATCATACAATATATATTGTTTTTAGAGCTTGAAATCCTAATATTTTTTCACAACCATAAGTCGAGATGATCGATATAAAGGTTTCCAATGCTTGACTTGTAATTTTCGATGAGTTATCAGGTGAGAATTTACTTATTTTAATAGGATTGAAGCCCTATCAAACCATTTCTCAAAATTTTATCATAAGATTCAATAGTGTACAAAATTATTAGGATGGCTGAAAATCTAATTTTATCTCTAATTATAAAATTATAAACTTTAAAAATAGTTAAAATTAAGTAGATCTATAAACACAATAAAATCTTGAAAATAGATGATCCAGATAATATGTTACAATATGCACTATTTTTGAAACTCAAAATTATTATTATTTTTTTTAAAATATCCATATATCTAAATGCCTAAATGATTAGTCAGACAATTTTCTAATATCAAAATAGTTTTTTTCAATAGATTTTTGATATGCACTTTAATTCTACAATTTAAAGTTCCAACCTTGCATAAAATTTTCCTAGGGTAAGTTTACAACCTTAAGATGCATTATTGGTGTAAAAAAATCAAACTAAGGTGTATCTCCAAATTTTATATTAAGATACAATATTCGTGTGAAAAATTATTAGGATGGCCTCTCTATCTATTCCTTTTGAAAAAAAAAGTTAGGTATCTCTCTCTTTCCATATATGTGAAAAATACATACTCCCTTCAAAATTAACACACAAGCATGTATACTGAGCTCCCTCGATAGCTTAGTTTATTTCTACACCCTCACGAGGAGACGATTTTTTCAATCTTAAATTTTGGTAAGAATCACTTAATGATTATTCTTAAAAAATAAAATTGCAATTTGAATTTTCTAACACCTAGATCTCACTCTTTGAAAGTGGGAGGATTTCTATTCAATTTTGATACATTATTTTTTTGCAAAGTGCCTAGAAAATGCAATTAGGAACTTTTTCTATTGAGGTTAATCCGAGTTAAAGAGGTTAGATCTCATATGGAAATGAACAGTTTTTCTCTCGCGGCTCTGATCTATGACTTTTTCTCCCTTAACCCCCTTGCTCAATACCTATGATATATATACAGGGCTTTATTTGGATGTACCAGTTGTAACTCATAATATGTAGTTTTAGCAAACTTAATCTTAATAATAAATTATTTATTATTTAACAGTATCTCTTATAAGAATATCTAAAATAAACTTGTAAGCAATTTTACACATAAGATTATTTGTTTGAACAACTATTTTTATTTTATTTAAAGTAATTTGCTGGAAAATTACATTAGCCATAGACAACTAAAAATAGCTAAGTGCTAGTATGTACCTAAAATTAGAATATTTTTATTCAAAAATCTTGTGAAACGAACTTTGACCGGTTGGACAACTGCCCGATTTAACTAAGTTTTTAGATTGAAAGAAAAAATTTACTGCCATATCAAGGAAAAAGTTACCATCCAAAATAATTCAATTAAGACTTAAATTTTGTCGGATGAAAGTGATGCCTTCTCTCACCTGTTCAAAATGCAGCCTTTTCTCTCATAACACACCCATGGAAACCCCTTCTCTTCTTTGAGAGAATTTTCATTTTTTCTCTCTAAAAACCAAAAAAAACTCAAACCGCATGCCATTGGCGGCATCTTTGCAAGCCTAGGCCATATCTCTCTCTACAAAACTAGCATTTTCTCTCATACCACACCCATGGATCCTGAATAAGCAGAGCATTTTCATTTTTGCTCACCTAAAAAGACTAGACAAGCTTCAAGCACCATCCATGACAAGCCTTAGGCAGCATCTTGAAGCCTCCTAATCAGTGCATCTCACCCCAAAGCTCCTAAACAATCTCTCCACCCTTGAATCCTTCATCTTTTCTGAAATTGCCACTACTTTCCTCTAATCCAAACCCCATAATTATTCTCTCTAATCACTGGATTCAAGAAACTATTGGAATGGTTACTCAGCAAAAAGTTTCACCATCTGCTTGGCCTCCGCCCACCCTTCTTCACTGCTACTCAGAGCCCTGTCCCTCAGCGAAACCCTCGAGTAATCGGAGGTCGGTCAAGCCCTAAAGCTGCATTTCCATTGAAGCAGCGCCCTGTGTCACTGGCGAGCAACGCCACAATCCCCTCCGATATTTGCGAGAGTGCACCCTTCAGCATCCTGCTGAGTATTTCAGGTGGGAGCACTTGTCCCGTGGTCGAAACTGGGGATCAATGTGCCTCGTTTTAGAGCTCAATTTTGTAAGTGAGAAGCTTGGGTTACAGGTTCTGCATATTGTATGGAAGCAAAATTTTTCTACTAATGCGAGGGATAGAAGAAAACTTTTTGGATTGGCAAGACAATTTTAGAAGGGTAGGATGCAAATTTGCTTTTATTATATTCACACCATCCAAACAGTCATGTAGATTAATAAAAAAAAATGATAATATTTTTTAATAAAGGATGAAAAAACTTAATTTTTTTCAATTTGAAGGTTTTTTTATTTGACATATAAAATGGCCCTAAAATTATCAAAAAAAGTAAAATAATTAAATAATATTATATAAAATACAAGATAAACAACAAATATTGACAAAATAATATTATATAGAATATATTAATTTTAAATAAGATAATCTACTCCTTGAAAGACGATTAATTGCCATCGAAATAAGCCTCAAAGCATAAGCATCAGATGTGCACGTTCCTACACTTATGCTTAAGCACCCTTTGATTTCCACTGCCATCACAATCACTGCACCACCACCTCCGCGGCCACCACCACCACCTCCATCCCCACCCTCACGACAACTTCATTGTTGCCACTACCACTACAACTACTAGCACCGCACCACTGTTGGAAAAAATAAATTTGGGTGAAATGGGGCAATAAAAGGTCAGATTGTTTGACAAATTTGTAAATAGAGAGATACTCATGTTTCTATATTTTAATATTATTTCAAGACAATATTTGCCTCTACTAATAATAATTAAAGATTCTCCTGACAAACTTGTCTTGAGATACCTTAAAATAGGTCAACCACTTCTCTTGCATGTTCAACAAGAACACCAAGATCTTCGAGCACCAAAATGCCTTTCTATTAAGATAAACAAAAGAATGCAAAGTTACATAAAATCATTTACAAAAACGAGATTCAAGACCATTTTATGGAAAATGAAAATGTTCTTTTTAAGTCATGGGTTATTGCTTGATGCCATGTGACGTTTCATTTTAGACATTTTGAAACATCATCCCTCTTGAATGTTTTACCAGTCATAAACCATTCATTAAGCTAACCAGGCAGTTGATAATTACAGGGTCCATTTTGAACAAAAATGAACCTTCACATACAAGTGTTAAAAGTGTACGACACACGACACCCAATTCATGACGTTTGCAATATCTGGCATGCAACATCAAACAATTGTGAGCGCAACATAAAATAAAAGAAAAAGTTTATATGTGTTGCAATCTTATAAGAAAGATTGCAGCAATCTATATTTTTTTTTTTAAAACAGTTAACTAGGATTTCATTAAGTCAATGAAAGCCATATTCTAAACAAGCCAAGCGGCCCTAGAGAAAAGAAAGAACAACAAAAGAGAGAAGAAAAGGAAAAAAGAAAAAAAATAAAATAAAATAAAAAAATGGTAGATTACAAGGAAGTAGCATTTTTAGCAAATCCATCCTCTAAAGAATTTCTTTCCCTATTGACCAAAGAAAATTGTAATTCTTTATCATTCAAATGGTTCATAAATTCCTCTAAATTCCTACCCATTTCCACGGAATAGAGGGGAATCTAGGTAGCACTTAATCAGAGGAATTCCATTCTATAATAAGGTGAAGAACCCTATTGTAAACATTGAGCACAACAATACTTGAACCCAAGAATTCAACTTTAATCGCTTTTGACATTAATAATTGCAGGTCCATATAATACCAACCCTCTCATCCAGCAACACACTTCCCAGCCCACTCTTGAACAACTGCTTCTAACACTCCCATCAAAGTTAAGTTTAAACCAACCTCTTGGAGGAGGTTTCTGCAGTGCTCAATCCTCAAAAGGTGGCCAAAATTATTCATAAAATCATCACCTGGGATATTTTAAAAACTCTCTAATGCTCTAGCCCACTCTGTAACAGATTTCAAGATAACATTCTGAAGCTGATGAACATCTCTCTTTGTTTCTTAATAAATACTTTGGTTTCTTTCCTTCCAACTATGCTAGAGGGTGACTACCCCAGGAGTTATCCTCCATAGAATCATTACCTTCTTCACAAAAGGCAAAGAGCTCATACGCATAAAGAGCTGTGAGACTGTCTCTGGCATAACCCAAACACTCTGGATTTTAGAGAAAACCTAACTTAGTGAAGACGTGAAAGCACAATATAAGAACAAGTGATTCTTCTTTGGATGAGATACATCCATTAACCAAAACTCTTCCCCTCCTCTTAACTATTCCACTGAAAGAGTTCTGTTTCTAGTAGTAAGTCAGAGGAAGGCTTTTACCTGTGAGGAACCCTGAAGTTCCAAACTTCAACAACTCCACAATCAACATTGAACATTCGGTCCATACCAATCATACCATACAAGAACTTAACAAAGTAGTTATCCCTGGTTCTAATTCCCACTCCAATCTATCTAATCTATTGGAGATAAAAAATGAGAATAGAGCATTCGCAGAAGCTGCATAACTTACAACATTGGTCACTCTCCTATATATAAGCTCCATATTCCAAAGAGCATTCTGCCCCTGCCCATATACCATATCTGACCAAACTCATTTTGTGCCTGGA